TGAATGCAGCTGGCCCCGAGTGGAAGCTTTCCGATACCGTTATTAAATATCACGTCCTCGCCTTCTCGCACCCCGTCCTTTGCACGAATACCAAGATTTCGCCTGGCTTCAACCTCCATTCCATTCGCTACAACGCGCTCGTCAGCCTCATGACTGGTCTCTGGGACGCGGCCATCCTCAATGGCTCGATTCGACTCCGTGCAGCTCCTTCTTTTTCCATTCCTTCCCGTTCCGCTGCTCCTGCTCCTGCTGCTCTCTCGTCATCCGTCCCACCACTAACCCAAGCCGACCGTGATCGTATCAGCGCTGCGGGCGGGTGCTTCAACTGCCGCTTGACGCCTACCGACAAGGATTGGGTTCCGCATCGCAAACGTGAATGCAAGGGGAACTTGGCACTTGGTATTCCTGCTTATGTTGCCCGTATCCCCGTTGCGGCTGCTGTGATACGGAGTGGTTCGGATGTGGACTCCGATAGTGAATGGGAGCGCTGTTTGGTAACGCCGGGCATCTATCCGGGAGCATCTTGTCGTGTGGCTGGTATCAGGCCTCGTTTCCCTATCGACAATGTTTTCGACTCCGATGGTGATGACAACTCCGACTCCGATGACGACCTCGCAACTCGTGATGACTAGCAAGATTTCGGCCTTATTTCCTTATCTTATTCCCACTTTAATCGCCTTCTTCGTTCGGGTCTACTCGCATGCTCCCATTGGGGCGTTCTGGACTATGCCGCTCGGTGTACGGTTCTTACAGGGGGGTTCCCTGTATCGGCCCTATATCCTGTCGTCTGCTCAGGGCGGACTTCTCGGTCTTGCAACTTGTTGGTTCTTCTCCCTTTTTGGTACTGTCTCTCCTCATGGATTGGGTCTTGTTCTAAGTGGGGGAGGGTGTAAGCCTGGGAGCCTTACCTACATTCCTCCGTCACATTAGCACTGCCTCTTTAGTCACTCACCTCTGTCCTCCATCGTTGTTCCAGAATATAGCAGGATTCTGTTGTGTTTCTGTGTGTTCCTCAGTGTTTCTGGGCTAGACCACCCAGTTTCCAATCCTCCCCTGCTAGGCTTTCGTCGGAGTCTCCAGGGTTGCCCTTACAGTAGAAGAAACTCTCTACGGGATTAACCGGTCAAGATTGCCAGGTTTGGTGCTGACTCAGGCTCGGAGTACGAGTCCGTACCCCCCTCGTCACCGCCCCTGCCACTTGACCCCTCCTCCTCTGCTCTTGTCGTCTTTACGCCCGCTATGTCTACCGGAGCTGCTCCGGACGCTGACGCGCGCATGGGACGCACTTGAGGCGAAACTAGACAACCTCACCAATATCCTCACCCACCTTGCTTCCCAGGCTTCCGCTGCCGCACTACCTCCGGCAGCTCCCGAACCGCCCTGGCATCTCCGAATGCCCCCGACGCGGATGCGTTATTTGGTGACATTACTGTCGCCTCAAAACTGGTCTTACGACCAAACCCCCCGTTTGCGTTTAACGGAGATCGCAAACGCGGCCGCGCTTTCTTTCGCGGTCAAAACCTACGCTCGGCTTGCCCCGGAGGCCTTCGTAGTTAACGGAGAGCCGAGCGAAGAAAAGGCCGTCCGCTACGCCATGTCCTATATGGCGGAGGGACCTGCTCAGCAATGGGCAGAGCGTCATGGGAGCAAAAACCCCTTCCCCTTCCCTCGGTGGAGCCAGTTCCTCTCCGAGTTTCGCCTTCGGTTCGTCGAGGAGAACGAACAGGACCTCGCGCTCGCTAAGTTGGAAAGCGGGTTATCACATGGGAACGGGGATGTCTACGGATATACCGACGACTTCGAGGACTTGATGGACCTCGCTGGCTTCAAGACGCGTTGGTTAAGGTAACCAAGTACCGCCACGGACTTGACCCCTTGATCAACAACGGCATCACCTCTTCGAACGACCCCCCAGACCTCCGTGACTATCTGGGCTGGCGCACTCGGGCTTTCCGACAATATTAAGCCCTGGTGCGAGCGAAGCTCATTAAAGGGAACGGCTACCCCCGGACCGCTTCGGGAGCTCCGCGGGCGCCTTCCCCATCACTCGTTCGGCAACTCCGTTCCCCATCCGCCCGGTGGCCCCGCCTGTGCCACCCGCGGCCCGCGCCCCCGTCCCGGTACCTCCGGCTCCCGTCCCTATGGAGCTGGATCGTACTAGGGCTCGGGGTGCCCCTCGTCGAGCCTGCTTCAGATGCGGCGACCCCAACCATTTGGCTCGGGACTGTCCGCTTCCCGCCAACGTCCGCCATGTGGACATCCTCGACGAGGTAATCCAGCAACTTGGCGATGAGATGCTGGGAGAGCTGCTTGCGCGGTTGTCCGATACTGCGGCCTTAGCGGAGGCGCATTCGGTGATGAGTGCGGAGTGGGGGACAAAGCAAATGAGCCTCTAACTAACCAAACCAACAAAAACAACCAAAACTCCACTTGAGATAGAGAGAAAGTTGTATAATGTCGAGTAGGAAAAGTCACAAAACCCAAAATATCGTCGACTCCTTGTGCGAGAACAGACCCCTGTGAACAGAGCCTTGGCACAAATGTGTAAGGTTGTAGGGTTGATACGAGTTTCTTGCGAAAAACGTTGATTTGTTGTGCCCCAAAGCGTACTATCGACGAAACTCAGCAATAGAGAAGCGCCAATACGATGCCCGGAGAGTTTATACTCGTTGGATCAGGACTAACTGCCTTAAACCCTCTGAGTTGTCTCGAGTCAGGAACTAACTGCCTTAAACTCTCGACCAGCAACCGAAACCCAATAAACAGCAACCGGAACTCTTGTATTCAGCAACCGAAACCCTCAACCAATAATCCTTCCGACGCGATAATACTATTTCGAAAGAGCTAGCAAGATAGATTTGACGAGCTAGATCCCCAGATGCACCTAGTAGAGCGGGGCAATCCGTGAACCTGCCAAATACAAAACAGAGATATAAATACTAAACAGAAATTGATAGAATCAGGGAAAATCTCGAGTAAGAAAAGTAGTCCATGTGCATAATTGTATAGGTATCGTTTCGCCATACGACCCAGAGTCGAAAATCCAGGTCCAGATGACTGGTATCGCGTGTATTGGAGTCAATGACCTGTGTAAATCTTCCGTGTTCGCGACCATCTAGTTTGTCTTGTGAAGAATCCCTCGATCTTGAGTAGGATCAGTGGATAGCTCTGCTTCCCAGCTTTCGATTGACACCCATAACTCGTATCTTGTGCATATGGCCTCAGCGGTGGTTGTCCCAACTCTCCTGGCGCATTTCCAATGTTCAGATGATCTGTTCCTCGACAGTGTTTTAGAGTCGCCGTTGATCACAGGTCCAGGCCCCAATCAATTGAGTAGGTTTTCGCCGTTTAACCGTCCCTTGGCACTCTCGATCCTCCAGCATGATCCGAAACCACGTTCCAATGATGTCAGTTGTCGATACCAACAGAGATAGGGGTGTCCCTTGTCTAGGAGTTGTCGGTTTCGAGTCTCCACTGAGCGCCAAACCGAATATGCCTTTTAGAATACACTCCCTTTGGGTATTTTGCATAGAATTGGATGGATTCTAGCGAGAAACGGGCTCTGCGAACTTTTCCTAGTCAAGATTTTGGAATCACTATGAGCGATTTGATAGGATTTGACTGGATTTTGATAGGTTCTTGTGCAGGTAACTCCCTAGTTGACCATTCGGGACTCATGTCAACTCTGAGACGTGCGCTGAGCAACAAAATCGACAAAAATAGTCGTTTCCTGGTCTGTTCCAGACTGCGGCTTATCAACGCCCTCCCGACGGTCGCCCTGGGACCTCGCCTGCGACGCCACCCAAGCCTTCTGTGCCCGACAGCGGCAGCTACGGACAAGCAGTATATAGTCAGCTACCTAGCAGGCGGACCCTTAGAGTTTCTTCTCTTTGGATCCTCCCCTGCTAGGTCAGCTTCATTTGTATTCGCTTACCAATGTTCACGCTTTGGATCCTCCCCTGCTAGGACCTTGATCTCAGGCCTCCGGGGTTGCCCTTACAGCAGAAGAAACTCTCTACGGGATCAACCGGACAAGATTGCCAGGTTCGGCGCTGACTCAGGCTCGGAGTACGAGTCCGTTCCGCCCTCGTCACCGCCCCTGCCACTTGTCCCCTCCTCCTCTACTCCTGTGGTCCTGTGAAGAGGGTCGGTCATCAAGCGCATCAGACGAACGTTTATTCGGACTTAGTACATATTTGATTGGACTGTAATTACATCAGCGCGTGACCTAGAGTCACGCACACAATATATCTTGCTCTCATCCTTCATGACGAAGTAAGAACAGCGCGACGACAGCGCTACCTCGGACCCACCAAAGGCCTGAGCACGCGTGCAACTGCTCCACGTAGCTCCCGTGGTGGTCCTCGACCACAAGCTAGCATGCTCGAGCCCTACACGGGGCTCCCCAACTCTTATACAGGCGCGCTGCTTCAGCGCGCCTTACTTTCTTATATGCTGGTCGTAGCTCCGCTTCTCCTCAGCCTCTTCGAACCAACCCCCGTCACAATGGAGCCCACCGCGAGGGGCTGTCCCGAGACGACGGTGCCGACCAGCGTCACGAAACAACAACCCCTGGCTTAGCCGACTCGGCTAAACAAATTTTCGTCGGCTAAAAGAAATGCTTATAAAAAGCTGAGCCCAGCCAAGGGCTCCCCCAAAGCTTCTCTTCGCAACAACCATGTCTTCGCAAACTCGGTCAACTCCCGCTGCCCCCTTTGGCGAAAAAAGAGCGCCCTCCACAGGGCGTCCGACTAATACTTCAAGGAATGCGGGGGAAGAAAAATTAGACATGTACGCGTCGCGCAAGACCTCGACGACTATCCCGACTACCGCGGCGACAGCTAATCCCACGCCATCACGACTGACGTCTCCGACTGTGTCGTCCGCCCGCGCACCATATACGAGCACCACCACCGGTGCCACTGAATGCGGCCACCCCAAGCAGAGCTCGCCCACCGGGCTCAGCAAACCAGGAAGGACCAGCTTTCGACCCTATGAGGATGATTAGGGAAAGGACTTCGGAAAGGCAGAACGTTGCTGGCCGCTCAGTCGCCAGCCCAGCTTCCACGCCCCTTCCAGCTTCCCCCGCGGTCGAGGCGGATGTCCTCCTAGGCGAAGGCACGGCGTCGGAGATAAACGGCGTAGGAGCTTCCTCGCCAGTTCGAGCTTCACCCTCCACTTCTTCGGTCCGCTCAACCGCTTCGTCCGGATCCACTGAGCAAGTAGAGACAGAGTTACTTAGCTCTGCTAGCAGTGGATCGACTGAGTCCTCGGCCAGTCAGTCGAGCGAGGGTACCCTACGGAACGGATCTTCCAGGCGGCCTTCTCCTCTGAATGAGGACGACGGCAGTATATCCTCTGCGTTCGCCCAACGCGCAGTAAATACGCTCACTCCAATCTTCTCGCGGGCCGGCAGATCCATCGACGTCTTTACGGACGAAGCTCTATTTCAGTCGGTTGCTAGACTGCATACCTCATTCGATCCGGAGCAAGATGACGACCTGCTTACCCTCTTTGGAATCGAAGGAGAGGGAGCCAGCCCCTGGTTCAATGCGGAGCGGGCGGACCAACTCAGAGATATTCTGAGGAGGTTCGGTTACCCCCACACGTTGCTCGCTTGGGAAAATTTGGCTGAAGCCGTAGAAGAAGTACGGACTCTCCGTTCTGAAGACGTCTCACTAGTTGATCGAGGCAGCACGGTGGACGGCAACGACTTATTGGGTATCCCTATCTCCACGTTAACGCTGCTCGCCCACGTCACGGTAGCCGCCCAGCAAATACTGGCGAACCTGACTACATTCGCGGCGCGAAACGTTCGATCGAGCTTTATGGTCGACGTGGGCTACTCGTTCCTCACCATCTTGGAGGGACACTCGGATGCAACTACCATTTTAGGGACGTTGGGAGTTCTTCAGCTGCGATTGTCTCGAGCAGTGGTTCATATACGAAAACAACTGAATGAGATACGAAGAAACCTCACCGGGGTTGAAGTCGAATCTATTGCCAGCACGAACTCGACACTTTCTGAAGTGCGCCACAAATACGGCGCCGTCCCTGCTGAACAGGAAGTATGGCGGATAATAGCGCGCAAAGATTACCGCAACCTGGAGTATAAAGCGAATCCCCAGGAGATACGACAAGGGATTCAGTCAGTCATTAATGCCGACCGAGGATTCAGAGCGGATCCTTACCGCGAACGATCAGGGAAGCGTGAAGCAGCCGCAGAGCCCTCGTCAGGGCTCGCTACGCGAGCAACGGAAGGCGCTCTCCCCAATCCCATTCTGCCCGGATCCGCGCCCAATATCTGGGCGCCATCACCCAGCGTGGTCAGCTTCGGCCCAGGCGGCCCGATACCCCACGTGCTCGGCGAAGGAGCCCGGCGTCGGGTACCGAACATCCTATCGGCCGTGGATTATAGGAGTGGGGGGCCATCTGTGACGGCTGCCCGTTCTACGGGCCGGAGCATATTCCCATTCCCCTCGTCTGAAACGAGGACGGACACGTACCAACTGACCTCGCAAGGCTTGATCCCCGTCGACCGGAATGCCGGCCCTCCGTCGGGCCGAGGTGGGCCGCCCGGATCCGGGCGGTCCCCGTCCCGAGAAAGGGATCGAGCTGGAGACGGCGGACCCCCAGGCGCGAACCCTCCGAGCTGGCATGACGCCCATCCTCCCCGAGGAGGAGGGGAAGGGTGGCCTGAAGACGGTGACCCGGGGTGGGGTTCCCAGGTCAGAGGAACGGACGCGTCCAATCCACCGCATGGGCCTGGTATTTGGCAAATTAACCAGAAACTACCCCTCTCTATCATTCCGAAGTGGGACGGGGAGGGTCTCACCGCTATCGACTACTTGTCGGCCATGGACCGCTTGGCGCGCTACAGCTCCTACTTATTCACGCAAGTCGGGCAGATGGGCCCGATCAACTTCGAAGGGCTTGCGGCAGAGTGGTGGAAGCATTTAACACGCTTCGAACGAGAGCTATACTCGCGAGACTGGGATCACCTCTACAGCGCCATCTCAAGCCAATTCATTACTCCGGAATAGAGGCGAGAGCGATTACTAGAATTCGGAAAAATCTCCTTCCAGCAAGCTGGGCATTCGAGCGAGAAACCTATCCAATTCTACCAAAGACGCATTTCTTACAACTCTTTCCTGAACCCTATCCTAGCGGATACAGAGGCGGAATTGTTGATGGCTGTCACCAGAGTAATCGAAACTCAGCCAGCAATATGGAGCGGTACTATTAACGTCGAGCTCTGCCCCTCCATAGCCGCGCTACTACACAGGGCGCAACAAAGCGAGAAGGTCCTGCTCTCCTTATGGGCGATGGACAAACAGGCGAGGCTGTCGTCCTCCGCCTCCTCCTCTTCGCAACAGGCTAGCTCACGTACTGGGCATAACTTCTATCGCAAAAAAGCGTTTGCCGCGGAGGCTTCTCCTTCTCAAGACGAGGATACCGCTCTGGCGATGGTTGCGGAAGCACCTAAAACAGGCAAACCACAGTATCCCTGCGGGAGGCGTAGTAGACGGCTATCACTTTGCGAGAGACGATTCGAGGGTGAGCCCCCGCCCCCCGAAGAATGGCCACTGCTGGATATGCACGAGTCCGAAGCATCTAATGAGGGACTGCGTGCACTTTGGCAGGTGGGATAAAATGCGGCAAGCCAACATGTTGGAGCGTGACATCGAGCCCGAAGAATGGGAAGACGAGGAGTCGGACTACATAGCTATGATTGCTGAAATCCAAATCGCTTCACAGTATGCTGAGCCTGGGACTGAGATCGAGCGTGAATCCGTAATAAGAGAGTCCTATTTGGCTGCCGCTGCCTTCCATGTTCCCCGCTACTCAGAAAACCGCAATACGAGGCGAGCGGCTGCCCTAAGTAAACAGCCAGGTTGGAAGCTTAAGGGCAAGGAAAAGGAGATTCCGATGGCCGCGTTGCCACGGCGAGTGAGGCGACGGTCGCGGGATCTTCCTTCTAGCCAGGAGAAGCCTCGAAACACTATCCTACAGGCTACTAAAGGACAGCAGCTTCCTGAAGGAATGGCGGGACTAGGCTCCCGGGCGTTGCACACACCGGTCCGTGTTGGGTCACCCGAGGCTGAGCCAGTGAAAGGAAGAGTAGACTCGGGGGCGGACTTGACATTGGTATCCGAGGAATTTTGGCTTACGTTGGAAGACAGGCCGACACCCAAGGAAGGAGCGCGCATAAAGCTCTATCACCTCACAGGGCGAGCCAAAGTACTAGGCTACGTCACGCTCAAGATGTTCATGGCAGACGAGGACGGCAACTCAGTGGGCTTTGACATGGAGGCTTACGTGGTCCGCGATATGATGGTGCCTCTGCTGTTAGGAGAGGATTTCCAGACAGCGTACGAGATGGGCGTGGAGAGGCACACGAACGGACGTAATACGCTCTTATTCAGAGCGTCGCAAGCAGACATCCGTGTCCCGGCTTCCTCCTCAGTGACCTACGATTTGGGATTCAAGATAAGGCAGATTGGACTGGCCCGCCGAGTGCACCCGGTTGCTGTGGAAGCGGGATTGCAGGTAGGCGCGTCCCGAAGAGCCAAAAGAGTGGTGTGGAAGTGTGGAATGTCCCTTACGTAGCTTTTCCTTATGAGGCTGTTTCCGCTTTAGGACGCCCATCATCAATATTTGATGTGGCTATTTGTTTGTAGTCTACATCATCATTTAATAGAACTCCTCACACCCCAACCACCACCGAGTTCGCAACCAGTGCCGAGATTGCTCCACCGAGGGCAAGTTGCTAGTGAACATCGAGCCCCCGACCACCAGATTCTTGCATCTTTCGAGTCCCCGAGCCCCCGAGCCGAGGTTCACGACTGGAGCGAGTTTCTGCGATTTTACATTCACTTTTGCTTTCACTCTTACACAAATTCTTCCACTCATTTCCCTCCGAAATCCTTTCATTCGTGCTCCCCCAATCCCGGACATATCGACCGTTCTTCTGGCGAACACTGCACAAGCCAGTACTTCCACAGTGGTGACCACCGCAGGGGGAAAGCTCTTCTATCCGGGCTTTCCTTGGTCGAGACAAGCATTGTCCGTGTGTCTTTAACTCTTCTACACTCCCTTTCCCCACTTTCGAGCTCTTTCCTTCACTTCCATGCCCTCCGACGACGAATCCCCCACTCTCGAGCCCACCACGCGTTTCCCTGCCCGTTCCCGCGTTGCAACGAGCCCCATCACGCATGTACAACACGCGGCACGGAGATCTCTCGCAAACGACAGCAGAACTCTCACAAGTGGCGTCGGCCATCTCTACATGGCCGTTCCGATCAGCAACGTGCCCGAGACTGGCCGCGCGCGCCCAAATGCGGTCCGAGGAGCGAGTCCGATCACGGCCGGAGCTCCCGGAGCGATTCCCACGCTCAATTCCACGCGTTTTGCGCCTTCTGCTTCACCAAACTCGCCGAGAACTGTCCACGGCACTTCCGCGAGCGAGGCCCGAGCGCCGAGCGTTGTTCCCACGCCCGAATCGCCGCGTTCTGCCGCCCTGAACAAGCCACGATCGCGCCGCTGCTTCGTTTGCGGCCGGAGCAACAACCACCCACTCAGCTTCCGTTTCTGCCCCCGCACGTGCACGCTCTTGCGCCGAGCGCTCGCCCGACTCGATGAACGAGGCAAGCTTGTGATGCCTGATGGATCCGCGCTGCCGATGACGCGACACGCCGGTGGAGTCGCTGGACACCTCATTTCCGCGCATAACGCTGCGCTTCGCGTTTCTGAGCGTCCCGAACCACCACAACCGCTTGCTCGACGTCCAACACGCCTTCCAACACCATGTGAGCCGACTCCTTCTCAATTTCCGCCACCAACTGAGCCGATTCGCGCTGCTGAGCACACCGGCCCGCTCAATCCGAGTTCCTCCCATCCCGAGATCGCTCCGCCTGTTTCCCACGCCCCTCGCCGACGCCACGCGCATCGAACCAACCAGCCGCGCATGCTAATGCCGTGCGTCAAGTGTCAACAAGCTAAATCGATGCAGTTAATTCAAAGATTGCTGTTCGACAACACCCTTCGAGCCCACTTCACAGAGATGATCACCACCTTGAGTAAGCTTGATCCTGACACTCTGGCGGTGCTTTCCGACAAAATGATGGCAACTCACACACTCCCACCGTGTTTCATCCACGCTCACTTGTCGCAACCAACCGTGTGTCCATTTGGCTGAGTACTTTCATCGTTGGTTTCCGATCCATTCCCACTTCCATTCCGGTGATCTCGAGGTCGAGATTCGAGTTCCTCCCACTGTGGAAGTGTGGAATGTCCCTTACGTAGCTTTTCCTTATGAGGCTGTTTCCGCTTTAGGACGCCCATCATCAATATTTGATGTGGCTATTTGTTTGTAGTCTACATCATCATTTAATAGAACTCCTCACACCAACCACCACCGAGTTCGCAACCAGTGCCGAGATTGCTCCACCGAGGGCAAGTTGCTAGTGAACATCGAGCCCCCGACCACCAGATTCTTGCGCCTTTCGAGTCCCCGAGCCCCCGAGCCGAGCTTCACGACTGGAGCGAGTTTCAGCGATTTTACATTCACTTTCACTTCCACTCTTACACGAATTCTTCCACTCCTTTCCCTCCAAAATCCTTCCATTCGTGCTCCCCCAATCCCGGACATATCGACCGTTCTTCTGGCGAACACTGCACAAGCCAGTACTTCCACAGTGGCATTCCGGAAGAAAATCTCAGCAGAGGCTAAACCTGTCGTCGCGGCTCGAGATGTGCTCTTAGGACCGGGGTCAGTACACAACGTGCCAGTCACCGCGGACTTCACCGGAAGGGAGGACTGGTTTGTGGAGAAAGTGCTCATCTCCACTGACGATGGCAGCATTCTAGCGGCCCCATCCACCTTAATAAAGGCGTCCGTCCCTGTCATACCGATAGCCAACCCCTCCGCGAGGCCTTGGTTCATTCGAGCGGGGGATGTGGTAGGTAAACTACGCGACCCGAGTTCCTACGCAGACGCGCCCGTCAACCGAAGACGAGATGGATCACATGACCGCGTACGCCGAGGCGATCGAAAGAGTCATCTCTGTCACATCAAATTCTCAGGACGACTCTCTTACAGGACCGCCACCACCACCAGCCGACTCGCCCGATGGACCGGGCGAGGGAGATGACGAGCTATGGGAAGGCCCCAAGACGGTGGCCCTGGACGATCCGGACAAAGAGCCAGTGGAAGACGTGGCGGAGGCTGTGAACCTGGGAGAAGACGTGCCGGAGGACATCAGGCCCAAGTTACTGGAGGTTCTGCGACGCAATGCGCCTGCATTTGGCGTGGGGGGACGACTAGGAACAGTAAAGGAGAAAGCAACAGTGCCCACATTGCCGGGCACTCAGCCAGTATCCCTCCCCGCCTACGCGGCGTCCCCTTTGAAGAGGGAAGTGATCGATAATCAGCTGAACCTTTGGTTCAAACGAGGGGTCATTGAGAAATCGCACAGTCCTTGGGGAGCGCCTTGCGTGGTCGTGTTCCGTAACGGGAAGCCGCGGCTAGCAGTAGACTACAGGAAGCTAAACGTGTCAACTATACCAGACGAGTTCCCTATACCGCGACAGTCAGAAATAGTGCAAGCTCTTTCGGGTGCCCAGGTTCTCTCCTCATTCGATGCTCTCGCGGGATTCAACCAAGTGGAGATAGAAGAGAGCGACAGGGAAAAGACTGCCTTCCGCTCCCACCGGGGCTTGTGGCAATTTGTCCGAATGCCGTTTGGACTGCGAAACGGGCCATCCATATTCCAGCGCATAATGCAAAGCGTGTTGGCACCCTTCCTCTGGCTGTTCACCCTGGTGTACATCGACGATATCGTAGTATACTCGAAATCTTGGGAGGAACATCTAGAACATCTGGACAAGGTTCTGGGAGCTATCGCGGGAGCAGGAATAACGCTGGAGCCAAAGAAGTGCTTCATTGGTTACAGTTCTATCCTGCTCCTCGGGCAGAAAGTTTCGAGGCTAGGGCTGTCTACCCACAAGGAGAAGGTGGCTGCGATACAGGAACTGGAGAGACCCCGGTCAGCGCATGAACTCCAGAAGTTTCTGGGTATGGTAAATTACTTCTCGGGGTACATTCCGTACTACGCGTTCGTGATGAAGCCTTTATTCGGACTCTTGGCCAAAGGCGTGCGCTGGGAATGGAGGGCAGAGCACGAGATAGCTTTCCAACAAGCCAAGGATGCGCTCTCGGTGGCCCCGGTGCTAGGCCATCCGGTACAGGGCGCTCCTTACAGGCTGTACACCGACGCCTCGGACTTTGCAATTGGGGCAAGTCTGCAGCAAGTTCAGGAAATTCGAGTGAGGGATCTAAAGGGTACATCAACTTACGACAGGTTGGCGAAGGCTCACGGACTGGGCCTTCCCGTGCCGCGTTTGTTCGCAAGCTTGACGAGCGAGGGTGGAGGAAATGAAGGGGAAGGACACTTGGGGGGCGACGCTGGACGATACCATAGTTCACGTCGAACGTGTCATTTGCTATTGGAGCAGGAGCTTGAGATCCGCGGAGCGGAATTATAGCGCCACAGAGCGTGAAGCGCTGGGCGCGAAAGAGGCGTTGATCCGCTTCCAGCCTTTTATTGAGGGGGAGAAGGTGATTCTGGTAACGGACCACGCTGCACTACAATGGGCAAGGGTATACGAAAATGCGAACAGGAGGCTCGCGGCATGGGGGGCAGTATTCGCTGCATACCCAGGGCTCAAGATAGTCCACCGCCCTGGCCGGATACACTCGAACGTGGACCCGCTATCTAGGCTGCCGCGAGCTCCGCCGCATAACTCGCCGGCGAGGGATGATATTCCGCCTATAATGCAGGACAAGGAGAAGAGAGAGAGAGCGGAATCAGAGGAGGAGAAAGGATCTCGGGCGCCGGCGCCTAAAGCCGCTTTTGCAGCTTTCTGGTGGGAGGAAGTGTTGGAGAGAGAGGCGTATCCGGTGCAGACGCGCCGTCAACTGAGAGAGGAGTTGAAGAACACCTTGCAGGATCAAGGGCTGCAGGGCTCCCCGGAGGAGCCCTCCCATTCCACTAAGGAGAACTTACAGGGCTCCCCAGCGGAGCTCTCGGTTCCCGCCAGTCCCAAGAACGAGAGTCAAGGCCTGCCTGAACCAGAAGAAGCAGCAAAAGACCATTGGACCTATCCGTCCGGATCAGATGGGCCTGCGGCGGATGTCGAGGACGACTGGGTTAACAAGGCTCATTTGTTGATCTCAGTAGCACCGGAGGTGGCAGAAGAATTCGCCCGAGGATACCGGGCGGACCCGCATTTCAAGAACAAATATGTGGATGAAGCCATGAGCGCGGACAAGAAATTGACTCCTTCAAGGTTCCAGAAAGGCAAGGACGGACTGCTATACTTCATCGATGCCGACTGGGAGACTCGGCTATGCGTGCCCAATTCCAAGGTTAAAGACGTTATAACGGAAATACACGAGTCTGCGAGAGAATCGGCTCACGCGGGGCCAGCCAAGCTAGTGTCGAGACTGCGACAGCTATTCTACTGGCCTAGCATGGCCACGGACACGGAGAATTTCGCGTCTTCCTGTGACGTGTGTCAAAAGATCAAAGTTGACCACAGGCAGAAAATGGGAGGTTTACGCCCTGCTCACATACCACGTCGACCATTCGCCACTATATCCATGGATCTTATTACCGGACTGCCCCCATCGGGCGCAGAAAAGTTCACGGCCATACTAGTCTTCGTTGACAAGCTCACTAAATTCGCAATAATGGTACCGACTCATACTACTCTGTCCCAAGAAGGTTTCGCCAAACTCTTCATTGACCACGTCGTAAATCGATACGGCATGCCGGAACGGATTATCTCCGACAGGGATAAACGATGGGCCACAGCTTTCTGGAGATCGGTGGTGACTCAGTATGGTAGTACCATGGCATTATCCTCCGCACACCACCCTCAGACGGACGGGCAGACGGAGATCGTCAATGCTCAAATTGAACAGATGTTGCGGGCGTACGTATCGGCAAATCGCGCTTCGTGGGCAGCCTGGTTGGGACCAATTAACAGTGCATATAACTCAAACGTGCACTCGTCCACGGGATTCGCTCCCAACTTCCTGCTGCTTGGATACGAACTAAGAGGCAGCATAGGTCTCCTTGCTCCAGCAAGTGACGGGGTAGCACGTCCCTTCTTGCCCAGTCATAAGGGTGAAGACTTCATCGAATCGCTGGAACTACACCGCCAGAAAGCGAGGGATGCATTGGTATTGGCTCAGGAAAGACAGGCCAAAGCGTACAACAAACATCGTCGGCCAGTTGAAGCCATCGAACCTGGCGATTTAGTACTGGTCAACCCTCATTCTCTCGAGTTGGTCGAGACTACCGGGACCGGAAGGAAGTTGGTGCAAAGAACGATAGGGCCTTTCGAAGTAATGGAGAAGATAAACCCCTTGGTATATCGTCTGCGTTTACCCGACACCTATCCAATGCATCCTGTCTTCAATCTGGAGCATTTGAGGCAATATCGCCCTTCGGAGGAGAAATGGGGACTCCGCACCACCTTGCCGGACACGCGGGATTACCTACAGGCTTCTGAAGAATACGTGGTAGACGCCATTCTAGGTCATGAGGTTCGGAAAAGGGGAGGACAGAACGTGCGGTTCTTCCTGGTACGGTGGGAAGGATATGGCCCAGCGGATGACTCGTGGATATCCGAATACGACATGCGCAATGCGCCCGTGCTGAAGCGCGAGTATTTGAAGCTTAAAGGCCTCCATTAAGTGGCTGATTCAGTGCACGTGACCGCGCGAGCCGGCCGAGCATCACCGATGATGAGTCAGAGTGGGAGTGACATGTCACACGTCTCACTTTTTCTTCCTGACTCCATCGGTGAGTTTTTCACCTCGAGCCCCAAGCGCACCCCCCAAGCGGCCACTATCACAGGGCCTACGGTGTCGCGATGACTAACGACAGTGCAGGAAATAGCCTCCATGCCAACAGTGCCCCGCTCCCTCATCAGGTATGAGCCGCACTTGGATCCCGACCACGGTTTCGACGTCCTTCCTCCGCCCATGCGCCGCCATCCTCCTTGACTTCGCAGGGTTCGACATAGTAACGTCGAGGAACATTCAGGTCGACCCGGACACGGTACTAGTTTTGTGGTCGCCGAATTCGCTGCAACTTCCGATATGCCCGGGTCCGCCACCACTCGCCTTGCCTCCTTTGGCTCCACAGGGAAAGGAGCGACGTTGGGACGGGTCTTACGGTCGATACGACCCTTTCATCATTCCTCAGGCGGCCGGGAATTTCTATCCGCACTTAGCGCTCGTTCACCGGGCGTGCAAAATTCATCGAACGGACCCGTGGTTCGTCCGCCTACTGCGACGTATCTCAATACTGGCAGGACTCAGAGAATAAGCGCGAGGACCGCTGGCTAGGCCGGATGAACAACGAATGGCTCGACGCTATAGGGGATCTAGACGACAAATTGTGGAAGGATCTCAAGGAGTTACGACTCAAGCTCAACCCGACCCAGAAAGCGCGGCTAGAAGGATACCAATCCGGCAACGTACCTAAGTCGGTCAGCCTCGCCAACTGCCGCCTTCAATTCCAGAAAGGGTTAACTTGGGACGAAGGCCTGCCATTGGCTACCCGTCTGCAGTATGCGTTGCGGGAAAAGAGAGCGTGGTTATCATATATCACTGCTTTAGCCTTCGAAACGCGCCCTACCGATGAGCTACGCCAAGAAAGCCATTACGCGTCGGACGATCTTATTGGGTTCTGGGTCAACGGGATGGAGGAGAGAGAAGTCATGCTGCTAATGTCCAGAGGAGCTCCTGCCTTCATAGCTCACCGGCGCCAATCGCGAGAAGGGGACTTAGTGGAAGAAGCCAGTTACCACTACAAAGGATCGACCCTGTCCATAGACCGGCTAAGCCTTCCAGGCCGAGGCATCAGGGGTCCGTTGGTACCGAACGAAGAATTACCAGTAGTACCACTGGGAACAGCGGTTGGGTCCCAGCGCCCATACGAAGGACGGACTTCCCCTTCCCATGCGCGACAGCTCCCGCCATTGCCACAAGCGATAACGCCCGAGGTCTCCGGGCGAACCATGAACCTCCTCGACTACGACGATGATGAAGACGACCAATTGCTTGAACCCAAGCCGG